TTTTCAAATTGCAGCTCAATAAATGAATTATTGGCTGAGAGCAGTTAAACTTAGTTGTTCAGTGGACAATGACTTTGGATGCCTGTTGGCATGCCCACAAAAAAACACACACACACACCTGCATGCAGTGAAACAATAAAATTCAAAGAAATCAAAAATATACTTACCATATATATATATGGTAAGTATATTTTTGATGTCTTTCAATTGCAATTGATGTCTTTCATTTGCAATAATTGAAATACTTGCTACCATATTGCAATTTGGTCAGTGAAGTTAGTTGTAGATCAAACCTTCACATAAATACTACATAAAAAATAATTGTAAAGAAAAATTGCAATATGGTAGCAAGTATTCAATATGGTGTTCACAAACAGTTGATGTAGGTTAAATTTTCAGAAAAGGGGAAAGATTTGATGGGTATAAAAACATCACATACGATCGTTAAAGTTCTAAAATGACAGATAGCAGAAACAATAGGCTAAATTATGAGCGAAAGGTTTATAGGTTTATCAACAATCTCTGATCAGAGTCCACGAACAGGTGTCAAATAAATGCCTCAGAACAAACCTTTCTTGTGACTTGATCTGGTTTCGGTTTTCACATGGAGACAAAGAAGAAAACAATCGGGAAGCGAGGAATGGGACGCAGGACTAATCGTAAGGTGAGATTCAAGGAAGAAATACTATAAAAATCTTGAATCTCAAGGTCAAAATGCAGTTTACCTAAAAATTCTATGGCGATTAATCTGTGTCGTCTTCATCTGGATTAAGCCTGAAGTCGTGCCCGCTAAAATTTGTGTTGTGTCTTGCAGACCGCTGCAGTCATTGCAGCTCTGTCACCTACCATCGCTTCTGTGACCAAGCGAACCCATCTCATCTGCTCTGGGGCTATGACTGATCTGCTTGCACTATCGTAGGACCAGCGATATGCCACGCCTCAGTGCCGGGAGAAAATACTGTAGATAAGCCATTTCCAACTACCTCAAATATGTAAGCATCTTCCCATTCTAATAAACAATTTTTACTGTAAAATACTTGTCATCTTTGTGTTTTCAGCCACCACCAACGTACGAATGGACCCTAGACCATCAGCGACACACGATTAACTGATTTCCCTAAAAGTCGGCAAGCTTACAAATTTGACACACAAAGCCGTTAAGTTCGTTATCCGACACAAAATTTTTGCAAAATAAAAGTTCGTTAACCAATTTGGTCATTAACCAGGACATTCGTTAACTGGAGTTCCACTGTACAGTGGGTGATCGGTTAACGAACAAATCGGATAACGAACACTTTCGCAAAAGATTTTTATGATCGGATAACGAACACTTCACTGAACAGACATAAAAAGAAACGACGGAAATAGCAAATACCGACTGATTTTCCTTTGTTTTCAGGTAACTTTTTGGAGCACGGGAGATCTCAACGTCGACGCTCAACCTGATAATATACTGATTAGATAGTATCCCTCGAACTTTGAAATACTCCCTTGTAATTCCAACCTTTTATTTTTCTGACAAACAATTCTTTTATAGTATTCGCGAGACTGTCGGGCGGGCACTCATTAAGTTTTGTGTCGGTTTTTATTTTCGAAAGGTGAGAGTATAATAGCAAAGGTAGAGAGTGCGCAAAAGATGTCTGATGTTGCTGGACAGTATGGCTTGAACAGGTCTACAGTAGGCCGCAGTTCAATCTTATTCAAGAAGCTAAAGGAATAACAAAAATCACATCTGAGAAATAAAGAACAATGAAGAGCTCATAATGGAACCTGAAACGGATCTGACGACAGAAGAACGTCAAGAACTCTTGAATAGAGAACACCAAGAAACTCGTCAAGATATGTTTTATTCTGAAAAAGAGGATTAATGCCGATATCTGCTATTAATTAAAGATCTTTTGAAGAAATGGGGGATGTCAGATCAACGGTCTTAGAATGGCATACAAACCAGGTTGAGGTTAATAGGCTTGGGGATCTCTACAATTACAATGCTATTAATTACTTCTGAAAAATCCTGAAGGAGAGAGAAAAGCAATCGACATTAGACAGATTATTTAACCCCCACAAACAAAAAAACCATAACTAATAAAAATGCACATCTGTGTATACATAGAAATAAACGTAGTAAGAAAGTATATATTTTTTATTTTGGGATGTCTCCAGAACGAATTAATCAAATTCCTATACAAACCTATGGTAAATTCATAATCGGTTAACAAACAATTCGGATAGCGAACAAAGTCTTGGAACGGATTATGTTCATTAACCGATCACCCACTGTATATTGATAATGTTTTCTACCTTGTTAAACTGATCAAATTCAAAATACTTAAATGAAGCTGGAAATAGTTTTAAGCTATAATTAAAAATTAAGTTAACTGTATAAAACTACAACTTAAAAACTATTACCTATTTCCTAAAAACTAAGATATTTAATAGAACAAAAAATATGTAATAAATAAAAATTATTCACTCTGCATGTAATATAATTCAGTTAATGTATTATTTCAATGCTTCTAAAAGAAAAGTTGTTCAGAAATACCATTTTTAATTTATTGTAATTATTTCTTAATTTTTACAGAGGTAATTATTGGTGAAGATAATCTAAATGGTCTATAAACTCTGATTGTTTTGTTTGTTTATACTCTGTGTTTTATTTTTAAATATTTTTACATTAAAAATGGGTGAAAGCACCATTAAAAGATTTATTTATTTGAATTGATTAAGTAAGTAATTCATTTAGAAATGTGCAAAAGAAAAGATTATCCAAATTGGGTCTCAAACTCATAATCAGTGCAAATTAGATAAATATGTCTATAATTATATTATTAGAACTTAACAATTTACAGTCAAGATCTTTAAAATTGCCATGATTTTTTAATAGATAATTAGCTTGTGTGAAATTGCAAAAGAATTTTTGACTGGTTTAAATCCATTTTTGAAAATTTCTAATTGATACATATGTAGCAAAATGTTGATAGATGCCAACATTTTGCTACATAATGACCTTTGACTACATTACTTTGTTACTTTAAAAATCAACTGAGAGTATAGAAAACAAAAAATTTAGCCCTCCATTAGATCTCCATAATGTAGATCTCATTGATAATAAGTTTCTATTATCAGGGCATTCATATCTACCAAATGATAGCGATTTTGGGATTGTAGAAATGGCATTAAGAAGAAATAATTTATTGTATGTCCCTGAGGACAATTACAGTCATAAAAAAGTCAGAAAAATAACTTTATATTGAATGAAATGAAACAAGATTTCTTTTCAACTAAATCTTTAGAGGCAGTTTATAAAAGATTAAAAAAATACTGATGGAGAGCCTATAAATTGCTTAGAGATATTGGATACAGTTTTTGAGAAATGAACCCTATAAAATATTTTATTAAACATCAATGGAAGAGGATATGAAATTCAAAATTCTTAATTTATTATCACATCATAGAAGACCAAAATACTTTAATAATATTGAGTTAATACCATTATATAAAAATGCATGACCACTTTTGACACCTAAATACAAGGACATGATAGAGTTATTATGGTTTACATCTGCACACCATGATGATTTTAAAATTCTTATTTATATTCAAGATGAGAAAAGAATGAATTATAGATTATCAACAATAATTTGAATTTGATCTCTTAAAAAATAATGAATATTTACCTCTATGAAACAAAAATATATTATTTTCTCAGTATTATCATTTTTTACAATTTGTCATTTAATTTTTTGTAAAAATCATTTTTAAAATTTTATTGTAAAAGTAATAATTAAAAGAATTACAAAACAATGATATTGAATTTATCTAATAAAATTTTACCCACAACATGAAATTAAAAAGAATAGTATTATAATAACACAAAATGAACTTAGGCCTTTTCAAAAATAAAAGCTCATTTAATTACTTTTGAAAGTGGTTTAAGTTGCTAACAGAAGTATATTTTTCAAATAATGTTCATAAAATTATGTAATAAATCTAGACATATTTAAAATTAGAAACAAATTACAAACATATCAGTTATTGATATTTTTGAATCATCAATACAAATGTAAATCGTTAAATAACTCAATTGAAAAGTAAATGGACTAAAATTCATTTGCAATGGCTCATATATTAATAATTTGGAATCAATATAATACTATAAGTTAACTTGTTTCACCAATTGGCAACATTTCTATTCATTAACTATTGTGCTTAGTCAGTTTAGTCTTTTGTTTTAGTATAATCTGTTTATGACAGCAGTACCATTTATCTTTAGTTCTAAATTATTTACCCCCGTATTCATCAACACAAGTTAGAGTTAGGGTTAAATCTTGAGTTATCCAAACATCTTTTTGCTTTACTTTTAGTATGTGAATGCTCATTGGTTAACTTTTAACTTTAACTCGTGTTGGTGAATATGGGGGTTAGAGTTGATTAGCTTGAATAATGCACATTTTTATATTATTACATTAGTTTTATAATGAAAGATTCTAAAGAATGACATCAAATTTATGTAAAAATGTACGCTATCCCCAACCAATCAACAGACCTTTAATAATTTAACTGGGCCATGAAATAATCTGCTTTGTTTATATAGAAAGCTAGAGTTTATTGTTATCTATAGACAATTCACACTAACTTTTGTTAGATTTAAATATTAATCATGTTATTTCTTTAAATTTTAATTTATGTTAATTGACTGTTCAATTTGATGGCATTATAGTTTGGATTCATGTTACAGTTCATTAAATTTTTTATTTTTATTTATAAAATTATTTAATTCATTCTTCAAAGAAATATTCTAATGAGATTAATATTTTTTAATCAACACAATTAAGTGATCTTAAAAATTCAGAGAAATGAAAGAATTCTCTAAAACATTTTACAACTGGAATAAATTATCTTTTGCTTTATCTGAAAATTATATATCTCATTTAAATAATTATATTTAATTGTATTTGTAATTGTATGTTTAATATCTTTTATAATGAATCCATTTACAGGAGATGAATGAACCTTTAAGTATTAGAATAAAGCATCAAGTTGATAAAATAATTTATGAAGCTGGCAATGTTATTGATCCTCTCAGTGGAAGAAGGTGTTTTGGAAATAGGTACACAGATGAAATTGATAGAACCACACAAGCTCTTGGTTATCAAAAATCTTTTAGAAAATTTTTGGTTATGAAAACAAAGCCAAAAGAAGAAATTCCTTCTAACTCTGATGTATGAAATAGATTTTAATAAAGAGTAATTAAAAAGTAGAAATTAAAACAGTCCAGTTTCATTGAATGTCAGATTTTGAAAGAAACATGCAGATCAAACATACCAAGATATTTTTTAAGTACTAATTTATTTTAAGAAATACATTTTAGTTGTCCTTTCTCTATTCATGTTACATAATTTTACATTGCTTGAATTGTACAATTAAAGAACTGCTTTCTATTCAAATATTAGTTGATTACAAAATATGCTTACATTTGCATCTTGCTAGATTATTTGCTAGAAGTATTGCTAGATGTTTATTAAAAATAATTTTTTTTTATTCAGTTAATATTTTATTAAAAATATGATAATATTAATATAGAATTATTTTGTAAATAGCAATCATTTTTACTTCATAATTTTTCAGAAAGTATATTTAATATTAAATGTAAATATCAATTTTAAAAATAATAAAAAAGCACAATTCAAATTTTAATAAAATACTTGTGTGATTTTTTTACAGAAATATTCAGTTATGATTTTGACAAGTAAAAATTAGATAAGCGTAAGCTCAATATTAAATTATTAATATGACATAGGTTAGTCATAAAATAATGAAACAAATCAGAGCAAATGATTTAATTCCAAAAAAGATTTTGACATTGAGAGATTTTTGGCTTGTTCCAAATGGAATTTTATATGAAATGTCAAAGGTTACAAAAAAATATGAATAAGAAATAAATTCTTTAACTATATATTTCTGTTAAAATAAAATATTAATAAATATTTTATTTTAACAGAATCTTAATTTATAGTGTTTTTTGAATATTATAAATAAAACGTTTATTTTTATATTGACTAGCCATTATTTTACATATACAACAGAACTAAAGACATTTCATAAAAATGTACAGTATATGTGTCCAAAAGTTAGAGGAACACAATTGCTAGCAGTGAGATCTAAAAAAAGCCATGAAGCTAATCAGTGGCAATTTGTACAGATGTAGGAACAAAGCAGTTTCTTTTTTTTTCTTTAACTCTTTCTGCTCTGTGGGCGCTATAAGGGCCTCTTTCAACAAGCCCATTATAGGTTCATCCAGGTCCACAATGAGGCAGCTGGGTGATGAGAGTCTGACATCTCCAGGCCACCACCTGAAAAATTTCTGGGAATTTTTCAACCCATCCAGATTCAATCCCAGGTCTCCAGATAGGCAAGCTGTCATCTTGACCGCTCAGCCATCCAGCTGTCAGGAATAAAGCAGTAGTAGTAGACATATTCCAAACTGGCATGTCTGCCTGGGTATTAGTAAGCACTTTCTGTCCATTCTCCACCTATGTCCAACTGTTGTATCTATGTTTTTTCTCTAAAGATTCTCTCTTATTGCTTTTTGATCTGTAAAATTTTGCAAGTTGTGCATAAATATTTTGTGCATTAATTAAAAGCGAAGAATAGAATATATTAATTCTACGATATTGTTATATGATACATAACTGTGTATAATACTGTAATAACATTTCACAGATTACGCGACTAATGATTTAAAAAAGAAAAAAATTGCTACGATCATTACTTGATTTTCATAAATCGACGTCATTATTAAATTATTCTTTATAAAATAGACAAGATTTTTCCACATGATTAAGTATCTTGTAAATGGTAAGACTATTAAGTGTTAACTATCAATTATAAATGTCAAAAAAAGGAGAGAAAACGCTTATTTTAAAATTTATGAAAACATCCTGTATGCTATTGGATTTAATTGTTTCTGAAACAGGAAATTTGTTGCATATAAAACACAAAATTCAAAACTTCAGTATCACATTGAAGATGAATTGTGATTGTAAATTTAGTACAGTATATTTTTATGGGGAAAATAAAAAAAGTTTTAGATCAAATTTCTAATTGTTAACAGCTCATTACGATGGATCGAAACTCAAAAATAATTGAGTAATTATAATTAGAACAATGGGCTGATCACGTGCAGTTTTCCGTGTTTTCTTCACGTTTGTAGTATCTGAATATGGGCAATTTCCCATAGAAAGTCCTCCCGAGAGGCATCTCTTGGCAGATCGTCCACATGTTGCATTAATTAAACCAGTGTTTCTCAACCTGTAACGAATCGTCGTCCCCTTCAATAAAACCGTTACGTAATAATGCCCCCTTTACTTTCAAAATTCCGATGCCGAAGGCTAAGCTAACGCCAAATTCGTACTGCATTGAATAGACTAGTGACTAGTGTAATGTTATTTAATTTTTGTACGATATAACGAATAAAATATCTATTCTTTTAACATAATGTTTTACTATATCGCCCAGAAAATTGTTTTTCGCTCCCAAAATATATATTGTTACAAATCGCCCCCTCAACATGGAAAAACGTCCCCGTTGAGAAACACTGCGTTAAACAAATAAACCAGCAACAAGTTGCTCAACTTTCCCAGTAACATTTAAAATTTCGGTGGCGCCGTTATCATATTCTATTTAAAAATTTTTTTTATTTTTAACTATTATAAAATGACAAAAGGCTTAATTTTGAGGGTAGGGATGGGTTTTATAAATTGTAAATGATGATAACAAGTAAAACTGTCATTAAGTCTGACCCAACTTGAAATGTGACTCACTTTGTCCGCCCACCCCGACGACCGGATGGTCAAGCGGTCAAGATGGCAGTCTATCGCTCTGAGGGACCCGGGATCGATCCGGACAAGTCGAAAAATTCCAAGGAATTTTTCGGGGGGCCCGACCAGATATGTCGGACCCCGTCCCTCACCACCCGGCAGCTCCATTGTAGGCCTGGCCGAGCCTACAGTGGGCTTGCTAAAAGAGGCCTTCCTAGTGCCCACAGGGTGAAAAGAGTTTTAAAAAATATCTCCCCACCCCTTCGACCTTTAATCACCAAAATTTAATAGTAAATATCCCCCTAATAAACAAACCTCCATGCAAACTTTCAGGGATTTTCGACAAAAAACACGAGTTATTAAGCTTCAAAGAGGGTGAAAAAGTCGTTCCACCCACATACACTTAACATCCGCCGTACATATAGAAAAAACCCTGAAATTTTTTACATTTCTCGACGTTTTAAGGTTCCCTGAGGGGGTCATTTTTGACCGATCGCCATACATTCCCTCTGTTATATACGGCCGGAAGAGTAAAAACAATTGATACCCAAACAAAAACATCTGAGATGTAAAATAATTGCGCCAAGTAAAAAATTAAGATAATTTACATAGTTTAAATTATTTTTTAGGAATTTTTATTTGGTTAAGTTAAGCTTGGTGCTTGAAATCAATACGCACAAGATTTTTATTATTTTTCTCTACATTTCGTTTCGAAACGCCAAGCATAACTTTACCAAAGAAAAACTAAGAAAAAATTTTAATAATCATGTAAATTATTATAATTTTTAACTTGGCGCAATTTTTTTACATCTCAGATGTTTTTGTTTCGATTTATTATTACAAGAAATGAGCTAAAAATGTTTACAGCAAAATACAATACAGATGACAAAACAGTTTACAACAATAATCTTTACTAACTTACCGACTACAGTAATATAATACAAGGTTCGCAAAGATTTCCGGATATTGAAAAATTAGCCTGTATATATAAGTGAGGATGTTTGTTTGTTCGCTACACACTCCTAGTCCATTCGACTAATTGATACGAAATTCTGCACTTCGTTAACATACTTCTAACTTACATAATGCTGTGTATATCGCATCCGAAAATATTGATTGGATTTATATATATCAATTAATTTCTGTCTACGTTCATTCTGGGTTTGCATGTTGTATCTATTGGCAAAAAATTTTTAAAATAATAAACTGAATATAATTCATATAAAAAACAGATATACATTTAAAAAAACAAATATATCTACTCAATTACTGCGACAATGATATAGCGCTATATCGTTACTGCGACAATGATATAGCGCTATATCGTTACTGCGACAGTAGCACATAGCACTCACGAGCGTGGAGTTGAAAAATGTTACAGTGAAAACTATATTAGTATTTAATTTTTCACATTTAACAACCCGGGTTTTTTTTATTTCTGAATGGTACTTTCTTAATGAATAAGTGTCTATTAGTAGCCGTGGGGATAAAACCACTGAACACTGTAGTTAGTCGTGGGTTCGCTCATCGTAAACGGGCTGGCTACATGAATTTTCAGGCTTTCATTTACGTTAGTAACACCTAAATAAGAGCCAGATTCTCATAAAAGTTCCTTCGGCAGATCACCTATAAGTTGCATTGCCGAAACCAAATTAATTCTATAATTTTTCTATAAATTTCCTGCGTAGTTTACATGCATTTTGATAATGTTCTTAAAATGGGTTTTACCGCATACCATTTTTGAAATTTACGATTAATAATTCCGGTAGTAACGACTATTACTTTATAAACCCGAGCGAAGCCGGTTATAAAAAGCTAGTTAATTATAATTTCTCTATTGTCAAAAATTTTATACTGTAAATTTTTCAAAAATAACTGTCCGAGTTGGCGGGGGTTTACTATATTCGAATTATTGTGTCATTAGAGAGGTTGTGGCCGAAGTTTTCATCTTTCAAACGTGAACGTCGAACGTCGAGTGCCGCTATCTTGTAAGCGGCACTCGACGTTCGACGTTCACGTTTTAGAGATGAAAACTTCGGCCGCAACCTCGCTATTATTAACGAATGAGACAATTCGAATATGAATTTCTTGTAATCGTGGATCGTTCTTTTATTAAACAAAGGTTTTTTTCTAATACATGACACATAAATCATCAATTTTTGAATTATTTATTGACAATGAATTATAAAATATAATAATGATTTATAAAAAATTCATAATAAAATTTAGATTCTTAAAATGTTTTTATTTTGATTATAAAATCTAATCTCATTTCATTGGTAATATTTCCAAAGTATGATTAAAATATGTACAGTACATACTATAAAAAGTTAAAATCATTTTAAAGATTTTTCATCATCAGTGGAAGCCGAAGATGTAGAAGGATATGTACAAGATGGCAACGAACATGAGCTAACGCTAAAATTATCATTGAAGTTTTTATCCAAATTAAATTCCTTTGCGCTTGCAGTAGAACTATCACTGTGGCAATTTTCACCAAAAACATTGTTATCTGTTAAATCTACCTCTTCCATTGGTGCTGTAATAGATTCTGTAGAACTAGACCTAACACGAACAGAATGGAGTCTTGGTATGGTTTCTTTATCTGACCATTCAAATTCTGTAGTTGTTGGCACACATCTGTCCTCAGATTCCACACTATTAACAGAATTGCTGTTACTTTTATCGATTCTGAATGACTGGTTTGATCGTACCAAGAGTAGTGCAAGATTCACAGTGATCAAAATTAATACAAACGATCCAATTGCCTGAAAATGGACAAAAATTTAATTACAATTTATAAACGATATTTGAAAAATAAAAACTTATGTTCTATCAAGTCATTATCAATATGTTCATTACATTAAATGAAATTCCAGATTAATTTTAAATATGCATTAGTTCGTATACTGATTTCATTTTTTTTTAAACCTATTTGTTTAAAGATTTATAACATTCATGATCAATTAATAGCTAGGTTAGTCACTCTGTGATACTTATTATGGTATACAGCAATTAATAGTTTAATATATTAGAATATTTTAATTTTACGTAAGAGATGCGCCAGAAAAATTTTGTTTTACAGTGCACCGCGAAGTTTGGAAACCAGTACTATTGAAGAAGGAATGCTGAGGCATGATTTGTTTCGATTATGAAATAATACTATTAGTGTGAGGAAGGAAGTGGTTATTAAAAACTATATTTAAAAATAATAGCTGATAAAAATATATACTTCTATTATTAAAATTGGGTGAACTTAATTACTTCAGATAGATTGTATACGGCAAATTACTTAATTCATTAAAGAGTTTTGGATATTTCCATTAATTATTCTGTGTTTAGTATGCAAATGATCAACAGTAATCTATTACGAACTGAAAAATGGTGAAATGCAATGTACGAAGCATTAATGATGAAACTGTTCGACAGCATATCCATACAATCATTCTGCGTATAGATAAACTTTTTATTAATTAATCGACATGTGGTTTGAAAGTTAAAAGTTTGTCAAAAATTATTCGTAAATCATTAATGGTATCGATGTAGGGATATTAGCTGATTGTTAATGTTGAGTAGGAGCTTGCCAGTGGCCAAGGCGACAGATAGGCTGGCGCATTAATATGCAGAAACCTATTACTCTGCAGTACCGGGGCAGATCGAAAAACCCCAGAAAGTTTTTGGAGGTGATCGGGTCCAGATATATCATATTTGTCTCTGACTACCTGGTCGCCTCACTGTGGGTATGACCGGACCCATAGTGGGCTTCGAAAACAAGCTCTCTTAGTGACCACAGGGCAGAGAGTAAAAAAATACGAAATTAATTGGAGGAACGTAACAAAGATTAACACAGCTGAAGTTATTAGTGATTATTAATTTTAAGATTTAGCTTTTTAACTTTGTCGATTAGTATTTAAGGCATCTTGTAGTGTATGAGGATAAATTCAAACATGTTTTCTTGAGGTAATTTAATTTATTTATATCCTGTTTAGTAATAATAATTTTAATCAACATTATGTACAAATAAATGTTATTACACATGTAGTAATCATATGCAATAAAATTTTAAATATAGGCCTAATTTATCATAAAATAAAAATTAATTTTTACTTTCAACTTGACATAATTAGACTTAACACATCCCACAATATTTCTGTAAGACAGTAAAAACGAATTTAGGTATTTATAAAGCGATACTTCTCGATTTCTGACATTATCATTAAACTATTTAAAATTAGAAAATATACAATTAATTACTTTTAAAAATTTCCCAACTTTTTACTATTAATTATAAGATAAAAATAATTATTGAAATAAAGAATATTTATATTAAAATTTTTACACGCGACTCAAAATACTTACGGCAGATAACTGATACTCGATAACTCCACTAGTACGAGGTATCAAAAATACGACAGCAAAAAAGTAAAAAAATATAGCAGCAGCCATATAAATCACTTCCTGAAATGTATATTTAATCAAATGTTTATTTTATATATTAAAAAGTTTATATAAAAACATACGATCGAATTTCATATACTCACCGCGAAAGCTTTAACACGGGGACGATAGCCAATATTTTGCATAAAACCAATAACATATATAACATATATCGCTAGTGATGCCACAAAAATGAGAAAAGATATGACACTGAAGTAACTATAGGTGGAAGTATAATTATTCGTAGAACAAGATGACTTTATCGGACAGGATCCCAATTCCACCAAAATGAAGGCCACCAAACAAAAAGTCTACAAGTTATGAAAATATTTCAAAATACGCAATTGTTATATAATTATAATTTTAAATACTTACAATAGTAAATATTCGTAGTAGCCCACAAGTAGATATCGCATATAGCTTTCCGCAAGGGAACAAATTCTTATTTACGTACTTCATATATTCTTCCTCCATATTTTCCTTTGTTTCATCTTCGTTTTCTTCCATGCTTTTTTTTAATTAACGAAATAAATAAGTTTAAATGCGTATAAAAATTCTCCGCAATGTAAAATTAACGCTTACTTCGGCTTGAAACTTTTATGTTGCAAAGTAAAGGAAATAAAACTTCAGGAAGTTGGTTCATTTCCTGACGTCCTAACATGTTTTTCCCTACGACCCGTGCTTGATTTAAATTAAATAAATAAATAAATTTGTATTTGGAAAAAATAGTTTTATCATTTTATAAACTCTAATATAATAATTAGAGTTTAATGATTAAATAAGATTTTATTACACAGAGAAAAAATTCAAACGTAATAATTTAACAAAAACTATTTAATTGATAAAAGTTATCATACGTATTCAATATTTTTTATTAGTGCTGCCATCTGGAGAAAACGTATTAAAGTAATGTATTTAAACTGATTTTTTTTTCTAATTTAGCATAAAAGTTATCGTGTTGTGGATTTTTTAACTATAATTAAAATTTCAAATCGATTAAAAAATATTTTTATAAGTTTATAATCGCAACAGAATCGAATTACCACGGTTGTCGATCAGATTCTCCGCACTTCTAGATGACGTCATAGACGCGAGCGACTGTCGTCCATTTACCGCGAGAAAGCGGTGACTCACCTTTACTACTCTTTTGACAGGTGTCTGTTGACAGCGATCGGATGCAATTTTATAATGAAATGAACAAGATAATCGAATAGCAATGGATATTCCAGGCAAGGAGTCAAGTCGTTTATTAAAAACACTTAGGATCTTCGAGCCGGGTGATGCGTGCAGTTCTACCTTGGCACGCCGTCCGCAAGATATTACATCAGTTAAGGAATCTCAAAGTGGACAATACGGCAATAGCAGTAATGTAAGTCGGTCCTACATCGCTGCACTTAGAGCAGAGGAGAATCGTATAATGGATTCAACTTACGGCAAAATTCTACCTAAATGTTCTACTAACACGTACGTGAATAGTAAATTAGAAGGCGTGGAATCCGATCCGAAAAGAAACGTCGAAGCTGCGGTCGAAAGTGAAACACCATCCGTTTACGGTAAAGTAGAAAAGAGTAACGTGAAGAAGTCAAGCGTGGATAATGTCGTTCGACCCCTTAATCGCTACGGAGGCGTTCAACTCACATGTGCTGCTATTGCCCGTGATGGTATGGCTAGAATCGCCAGTGGCAGATCTAGAACCGGTGAATCGCTATCGAAGAACCTAACTAATTACGTCCCACGCGCCTATAAAGATCCAAATCAAGAATCACATCCTATCTACGAAAACTTGCAACCCAAACCACCTTTACCTAATCCTATTCGTTCCGTCAAGAGTACTATACATACATACGCTGCACCGGCATATAATGGACAATCGCCAAGAAATCCCGACGACGATCCAATTTACGCCAATTTAAGCGATTTAAGTGAAGAATTGCAAGCGATGAAGCTACCGGAGAAAGATAATACTGTGATAAAATGTTCTGAATTAAATTCCGAAGTTTCTACCGCTAAGCCGCAAAACGAGAAAGTCTTTCCTAATGTGGCGAACGGTGATATCGGTACCAACATTCCACTTACTGTGACAAATGGCACAGATTCTTTCAATCAGGTTCCTATAAAAAAAGATGAGGCGGATGAAGATGCGTTAAAGATCGCGGGTCAGCTGGATGATAAAAGTTCTAACCACAGTTCGGAATTTGTTGGATCCGTCAATCATTACAAACCATCTATGGCAGGTGGAAAGACTCTTTTCCCTTACAGCGTTACTCCACCTCGTCCTAAAGGACCCACCGAAGCAGAAAAGAAAATTGAAGCTTTGATGAAACAGTTGGAAGATGAGATGGATACTGTCCCCGAAGAGGAATTCTTCGGTGAGTTAATTGCAAATTGCTTTCTCTCGTCATTAATGTTTTATACAAACAATATTATTTCAGTAAGAAAAATGTTTAATAATTTACGGTATAATTTATAAATTACATAAATAATGCTATAATAAATATTCATTCTTAATGGTCATCGAAGTAATACAGAAATATCGAAAATCATATTTTGTTTTGGTGTTATCATATCAAAAAGTGAACTCAGAAAATGCTAAATATTTTATCAGTTTTTCTATATATTGCCTAAAGTTAAATATATATATATTGTAGTGCTGTGAGTATTCGCTCACCCGTGCAGTTGTATTTGCAGCATATAATTATCCAGAATATAACCAAAAGTATTGATCAAATGATTTTTTTATGCATTATTAAATATGTTTACAGGATTTTAAATCAGATTTCTGTTTTTGTCGATTTAATATAACAAATATCGCAATTCTACTTGTTTTTTGGTTTATTTTTCGTCCTTATATTCGAACACGGAAATTCTCACTTATACGTTAGCATAGCGAAAATAATGTCAGAGAAAATATTTCTATTTCAGAAAACTGTGAGGACTTTTTTTTTTAAATCTGTATTAAAAGTTTTTCTGTAACTTAAGGAATTCATACGAATTATAACGTTAGTTGGAAAGACGTCGAGTTGGGAGTTTGTGTAACAGCTGGTGTTGCTTAGCAACGGTACAGGGAAGAGTCTGGCAAAAGTTGAGTGGGGGTCGTTTTTGGCTGACGTGATATAAACGAGGGCGTCGAGTTCTACCTGTGTCTGTGCAGTCTATTAACAGTCATGAGTGGTAAGTTAACGTGTTGCTTTCTAATGCGTTGCAGGTGAAAAAAATCATTTTTGTCACTTACTTCGCGTTATTTGACGTATTTTCTCGCTTTTTAAACAACCAAAAAGCGATTTTCGTGCTAGTCACGCTCGAATTATAAGTGAAGGAGACACGATGTAGTTCTTCCCCTCGTTTCACGTTAAATTTCTCCAGATGGAAATTTTAATAACAATTTTAACCGAGAATCTGTTTATTGATGGAACTGCTACGTTTTTTTCTTTTATAAACGAAGCTTTTAAGACATATTGGAGCCGATGTCGTCGTCTACTACTAGTACAGTCTTGCTTTTGTCACTATCGTTTCCCAAACGAACGGAAGACATTTTTTGATGTCATTTCTTATCTTCTTGTCTTGTAGATAATAAAAAGAAAAAGAGTTAAAAGTCCCCCAAAAAACAAAATCAAACCGAGATTGTAAAATGCATAAATGTGATTAATTCAGTATCGGACTATAAAAGGATATGCTGTTATGAATTAATGATAAACATTCGCTATAGCAGCTGTTGGTATTTTTCGAATTTTTATAGTATATTTATCTCGGTTTTACGTTTTTTTCGTCTCTTATGTTTCTTTCAAAAGTTGATGAAAACGTTTTCTTTACATCGAACGGGGATTTCCTTTTTTTTCTATTTTTAGCCGCCTTGAAGAGATTCTTGATGCGATGCTGGAATAAATATTAGATATTTAATGGCACCCTAAATGTGATTATGGACATCTTATGCACGAATTGAAAAAAAATATATAATAATAAATATATAAAAATGTTGCCTGTACATATCGAAAAATATTAAATTGTAAATAGCATAAATTACTTCAAAGACCTAGTTTATGTGCTTATTTAATATTCAACAATGTTTTAATTTTTGTTTCTAGGTTTCTAATTCCTTAAACAATTCATAGAATTATAAATTAAGCTTATCATGCTGAATGTAAATGAGAAATTTTTGTTCTCATTTACAACTAATTTTTAATATTTGATAATTGTGTTTTAGATTACATGATTTATATTCAATGAAGATTACATTTACACATAAATAATATATTCTAGTAATGTCCTTGGTTAAAAAAATTTCCTCGTTTGACCATTCACTTCTTCAAAATACTTGAAATTACCATGGTCCAAAATATTAATATATATATAGTCATATCATTATTTATTGTCAGAATATATTAAGTTTTTGTTCCACAAAATATTTTCTCTTTATTAAAATTGTTTTAAATATAAAATCATTCAGTTTATAAAATAATAAATTGTACTTTACAGCTTTTATATTGTAATTGTTATAAATCATTAGTGCTTTCATTTAAATGATGCTTTTAGGTATTTGCCATACCTGTGGTGAAAAAGTAACAGGAACAGGACAAGCATGCCAAGCAATGGGAAATCTGTATCATACAAATTGTTTTATATGTTGTTCTTGTGGTGAGTGTCTGTCAAATTCTCTATCATTTCAGTTATTTAATATAAGAAATATATATGTATCACAAAAGCACAATGCAACTATAAATAAAAGTTTATTAAACGCTTTAGTTTTTTTAATATTCATTAGTTTTTAGATTATTCAAAAAATTGCTTGAATTATATTTAGTCAATTGAATCAAAGATTATAATAATTTTTTAAAAGATTTCTTTTGTGTTTAATTTATTTAAATTACTAATGATTTAATTTATATCATTAATCTACATAACCCTATTTGATACAGATAAGTAGAAACAGGCATTAATTTTAAATATACTAAATACAGTATGTTGTTATTTTCAATTATTTTTTTTTTAATTTGGAAAAATTGAGAATATCTAAACCTAGAAAATTTACTTTTTAGATAGTATATATATAAAATATTTTCCAGTGAAGTAATGTTATCCATTTATTTTAGAAAAAAAGATGCAATGATATTATATTTTTGTATATTCTTTACAAAATCAATAAAATCTTTCATAAAAGTATTTTTTTTTGTAGTTTTTGATATAATAGTATAATAATGTAACATTTACAAAGGTTTTAAAATAAAATATTTTTTTTATTAACAGGTGAATTAATATAAATAAATTGAATTTGAAAATTTTACAGGGAGAACATTACGAGGGAAAGCTTTTTATAATGTGAATGGCCAGATATATTGTGAAGAAGATTATCTTGTAAGTTTTAATTGAAAGAATTAATTATTTATATTGATTATAACTAATATAATAAGAATATTATAAAAATTATTTATATTTATTAATTTCAAAAAAAATAAATTGTATTCTTTTTTTACTTTATTTTTCTTTATATGAAAAAATAAACAATTGGATAATAACATTATAAAATTATTATTGCATGTCAAGTATACATACTGTATTATTTATTTTGTCATACTGTAATCACTCTAAAATTTGAGATTTTTTACTTTTACAAAAGAGATATATATCTTTCATATATATATAATTTGAAAATAATATTTTTATTGAAAAAATAAAAGTTTACTTTAAAAGTTATTTAGCTAATTGCAAATCACTAGGTTTTAAAAATCTATATTGTATATATAAAATATTATTTTAAACTAAGTAGTTAATTTTTATTAATTTTATTTAAGAACTTTTGCACTTAAATTTCTTATTATTATTTGATATTTTTATTTATCTAAAAATACATTAATATTAGACATATATTTTTAGATATTTATGGTTATTACTTCAACTAAATGTGTGTTCCTAAAGATACAGCAATAATTTTTTTTTCTGTATGTAATAATAAATATAATAAAACATCTGAATAATGTAATCAAAATTTAAATTTAATCATAAATTTTATTTTATTATTAATTGGAAAATAGAAACTCAATGAAAAATTAAGTTTTAAAAATAAGAATTTTAAATTAGCTTCATTTAAAATTGTTACATATGACTAAATTAACATTTAATTGATTAATTATAGTTAATTATATATGTTTAATGAAATCAAATTATTTTACTTGAATGTAACATTAAAAGTAATATAATTTTTTTACATTTGTCATTTATAAAATGGCAATATTTTATTAATAATTTATAATTTATTATTAAAATAATAATTTTTTTAATATATAATTATTTACAATAACTATAGATCT